TTGATTAAATTGATTATTGATTAAAACCTAACCCTTGGTGATGGGTGCTGTTAATGTTTTCCAGCCCAATAAAGTCAGTTTAAAGTTTCAAACTGCGTTGGTTTCTTTTAAACCCATCCCAAAATCTGTGGCTGCAGGAGGTGAAGGTGTGGGGGGGACAGAGATTGAGCCAGAAGAGACAGAGCTGGAGAGTTTTGGAATTTCATCATTCCCCCCAAAAAAATGGGCACAAGAAGAGCAGGGACACATTTGACCTCAAGTAACCCAATGACCTCTACTAACCCCAGTGACCTCTAGTAACCCCAGTGACCTCTAGTAACCCCAAAATGACCTCTAGTGACCTCCAAATGACCTAAAAAATTACCTGAAGTAACCCCAAAGTTTTCTGGAAAGCTGATGTTTGACCTCAAGTAACCCAATGACCTCTAGTGACCTCTAATGACCTCCAAATGACCTCTAGTGACCTCCAAATGACCTCTAATGACCCCCAAAATGACCTAAAATACCCCGAAGTTTTCTGTTCAGATTGAGTAAAAGCTGCTGCAGAAGAAACTGCAGGGAAAATGGTATAAAATGCAATTAATTAAAAGAAAAAGGGTTACAAACTGCATGTGAGGGTGGGGAGGAACAGGGTGCCCACAGAAGCTGTGGCTGCCCCATCCCTGGGAATATCCGAGGCCAGGTTGGACAGGGCTTGGAGCACCCTGGGATGGTGCAAGGTGTCCCTGCCCATGTGTAGGGTGAAACCGGAGGATCTTTAAAGTCTCTCCCAACCCAAACTGACACCAGGGATGTTCCGCCGCGGTCCCGACCGAGCGGACAGCGGGGAACGGGCTGGGAGCGGGCAAAATTCCCACTCCGGCACCGCTCGGAGAGAGCGGGGAGAGAGCGGGGAGAGAAAGGGGAAAGAGAGCGGGGAGAGAAAGGGGAGAGAGCGGGAAGAAATGGGGAGGAACGGGGAGAGGGAACCGGGGAGAGAGCGGGGACAGAGCGGGGAGAGAAAGGGGAGAGAACAGCGAGAAACGGGAGAGAAATGGGGGAGAAACGGGAGAGAGAGCGGGGGGAGAGAGAGCGGGGAGGGAACGGAGAGGGAACGGAGGGAAACGGGGGAGGGAGCAGGGAGAAAGCGGGGAGAAAGAGGGGAAAGAGCGGGGAGAGAGAGAGAGGGGAACGAACGGGGAGAGAACGGGGAGGGACCGGGAAGGAACCGGGCAAGGATCGCGTCGCTCTGTCCAAGCCCCGCCCCCGCCCCGTTTCGGCCCCGCCCCTGACCACGCCCCATCAGCTGACTCAGCCCGGTCACATCCAGACCACGCCCCCTTTTTGCGCTGACGTCACCGCCCGAGGTGGCGCGAGCGCCTCCGCCGGTGACGTCACGTGGCGCTACCGGGCGGCCCCGCCCCCTKTCCCCCGCCCCGCCCCGCCCCGCGCCGCTCCGGGACCCTCGGGCAGGTATCGGGGTACGGGGGATCGGGGGATGGGGTGCGGGGATTTGGGGTCACGGAGGAGGGGGGGACACC